GTTGCGGCTTTCTGCTATGCCGTTCTGCTGCGGGCTGTCAGGAAGGGTGAAGTTTTGCTGGATGCCTTCTGAGGAGCAGAAGGCTTTGAGCTTGTCGTTGCAAAATTCACCACCCCCATCCGAGTGAAGGCGCTTGACCTTGCGGTCAAAGGTGGTCTGTGCCTGCTTGACCCACGCCATGATGACCTCTGGAACCGCAGCCTTGGTGTGAAGGAGGTGAACAGAGACGTAACGGGAGTTGTCATCAACTATAGCAAGGAAGTAGCGATGGCCACCTCGTGCGGAAACAGGGGCAGGGCCCCAAACGTCCATGTGCACTAGGTCCAGTGGTGCTGCTGCGACTGTGGGTGAGGCAGGATGGGGCTGTTGGCGCAGTTTGCTCTTGGTGCAGTCAAGGCACGTGGGAGCTGGTGAGTCAGGTGGTGGGGGAAGTGCGGCTGGCAGGCCGAGGAGAAGTTTCTTGGAGGCCATGTCAGCAAGCGTGCGGAAGTTTGGGTGCCCGAGCCGATGGTGGTAGAGGATGGTCGGGTTGGAGAAGCTTCGACATGAGCATGGTGTGATAGCAGCCAGTGCTTGGGTGGTTGACACCTGTGGGATAGGTACGCGCAGCGTGTAAAGGCCGCAGCTATTGAGGGTGAAGCGGGCCAAGACCTTGTTGGTGAGTGGATCGATGATATCGCAATAGTCCTCATTCTCTGAGAAGATGGTGCGTAACCCCGCCTCCTGAATTTCCGTTTGAGCCACTAGATTGAGGCGTAGTGAAGGCACGCACATGCCAGTGACAGTGCCGGATGGGAAGGCGGGGCATGGGACTGTGGATGAACCCTTGACAAGGGTGATGAAGCTTGAATCAGCTCCTAGGAGAGGAATGGGTGTTGCGTAGGGTTTGAAGGAGAGTGTCTCCTTGAGCACAGTGTGAGTGGCCCCGCTGTCGAGTGTGAACTCTATGTATTGTGGTGCTTGTGATGAGCCGATGTACTGAGAGGTTGCTTCATTAATCATGGCAGTGCCAGGGAACAACAGGTTGATACGCACATCAGCAGGAGCACTATCACTAGCACTAGCCGAAGCGGGGTCCTGGACCTCAACTAGGTTGGCCTTACGAGGGCGCATCCAGTTTGGCGGCTTCTTGTCTACACCGTGGATGGCATACCATTCGTCATCTTTCCTCTTGAAGCACGTGGCGAGGGGGTGGTTAGTGCCACCACACACTTGTCCCTTGCGGTTGCCATACTTGACGACGTAGGTGCATGGAGGAAAGCGGTTGCGCTGAAAGGGCGCCGAGGCGAGAGCCGATGCGACACTTGCTTGAGGCACGGGAGCACGGAGGGCGTAGGCCTTGGCTTGGGCCGAGGAGTCTTTCTCGGCGGAGAGGAGGGCGGAGGATACCTTAGCAAAGGTGAGGTCTTCCGCTGAGGACGTGAGTGGCATTTTCCTTGTGACTTCGTATGCCAAGGTGAGGCCAACAAGAAGGGCGGCTGCAGGAGCTTGTTCGGGGAAGATGATACCTAGCTCCTTGAGCTCGCCATGGATGGTTTGCACCTTGGCGATGTAGTCGGCCATACCCGGGTAATCCTCAAGGCGGACTTGAAACATGCTAGGAATGAGGATGGCCACCCCGACCGCCGTCTTATTCATGAACCTGTCCTAGAGATGTTTCCAAATGGCGTTGGAAGTGGGGTAGTTGTGGAACGCGGAGTGGAGCCGATGAAGATGCTAATGATAGCCGCATCGGCCTTCTCCCACTTGCGATACTCGGTGATGGGGTTGGCGAGAGTGGCCGAGGCGAAGGCCATGGCGAAGAACCCTTTAGGTATTGCGTGAAGCGCTGCACTTGAGTCACCGATAGGAACTTGAGGTTTAGGGTTTCCGAAGGAGAATTTGAAGAACTTGGGGTTTAGGGTTTACGAAAGAGAATTGTGAGGTTTTTGGTTTCCGAAGGAGAAAATCCGAGGGACGCGAAGAGCGAAAAGCTTTAATGTCGGCCGCTTCGGAATGTCTCGTAGAAGGAAGTTTAAGGCCGATGAAGGTAGGTCAAATCGGCCGATTTCGGTAGCTAACTCTATTCCCACACTTCCCCCCTCCCCCACACACCACCCTCTGCTTCGCGGCTACGCTGCTGCTCAGCTTCGCTACTACACGGCTGCTCAGCTGCGCGGCTGCACCTGTTCAGCTGCAGAGTGCCGTTGCAGGGCGACGGGCGGCAGCCCGACGAGAAAATGCAGGGCGACGGGCGGCGGCCCGACGAGAAGCTGCAGGGCGACGGGCGGCGGCCCGACGAGAAGCTGCAGGGCGACGGGCGGCGGCCCGACGAGAAGAAGTGGAGCGAAGACGATTGTAAAAAAGAAAGCGCGATTGGTTAAAGCATCGACGATGCGCTTACTAGAGAAGTTGCGAAAGTCGTCGAAAAGTAAGGGAGAGTGCCGAGGGAAAATTTCCGGCCAAGGAGGTCGCGAATCACCGGCGACGGGGTTGATGGCGGCTACGCCAAAGAAAGCGGGACAAGAGCCTGTTGAGATAGGAGGATCATGATACGCGTGTGCGGTAGAATTTCTCTTATACCATGTTAGAACTTGAGCTTAGAATCCATACACTAGTAATGAGGTCAAGGTAGGGGTGGAGAGAGTATCAGGGGCAATCCTAGGGAATTGGGGGTAATCCCAAGGCAATCTCCAATTGGTGGGTTGGAGATTGCTTGGAGATCACATTTGGGTTTGGTTGGGATGTGGGTGTACACCCAACCAAACACAAAGTGCAAACTACACTAAACTAGGATATAAAAGTACAAGTACAAAATGTGAGATTGAGGGCTAACATTAACACCTGCCACCCGCCTGTTGCCGCAGCCGTGCCAACCAGTCCAGCCCTCCCTACATCTTTCCTCAGTGCTGCCCCTCTCACATACGCTCTCTTGGGTTCCTGTCTCACAAATTGCACTGGTAGCTCCCTCACTCCACTGTTCTTCAACCAGTACTGATTGCGGAACTGTACCCTCTCTTTCCACATACAAATGGTCATGCCCACGCCCCATATCAGATCTGTTCCCAGCAGTACGTCGAAATCCTCTGACTCGGACAGGCCGCACTACACTTGGAGGCTCGTCTGCCCTTCTTGTCCCGGTAGTAGCGTCACTTCTAATGGCGTTTTCGTGTAGGGTAGCCATTTGGGCTCCCCCCCCCTCCGCTGTCATCACCAGCATCCCCTAATTCACGTGCTGTCATGGCCCCGTCAGTCCTAACTTCTGGGCCACCCGTTTTCCCAGCATGACGCTCTGTGCCCCTGTATCCAAGATCGCGGTTTTAGCCACCACGCCTCCCACCATTACTGCCCCGCTTCCACTACCAGCACTGTCGCCTGGCTGGCCAGCCTATCCTTTGGGTGACAGCTGGGTTCTTCCCCTCTATCCTCCCGCTCTTCTTACACAACGGCCGACTTTCCTTCACCAACTGCTCCTTCCGCCCGTCCTTGCCTCCACTACGCAGGCCCAGGTCGTCTCTGCTGCACAGCACCATAAAGTTGTACTCTGGCACCAGTTCCTCTATTACTTCTGCTTCATCGTCATCTTCCCTTGCGTATAATCCTGCCTCCTTCTCTTTCTTCCCGCCCATCGCCTGCAGCTGTGCCTGTAACCGGCCTATCTGCCCTTCTTTCTCCTCTGCTGTCCTACGCTGCCCTCCCGTGCGTTGGTAGCAATCCTTACCCCTATGCCCCCGCTTCCCACACACTTCACAGGTTGGTGCATCCGGGCAATCCTTGCGCCGTTGTCCGGGCTTCCCGCAGGAATCACAGTTTCTGCAGTTTCTCATCAGGTGTCCCGGCTGCTTGCATCGGTGACAGGTGCGTGTCTCTGCTCCTCTCTCCTGCCTGCTTTCCTCCCTCCCTCCTGTCTCTGGCACCATTGCTACTGCCCATGCAGGATTCTTCCTTTCTGTCGCCCTTGGCAGGTACACCTCGTACTTCCTTTGTGCCAACACCACTCTCTCCGCCAGCTCAAACACCTCTTCCTGTGTTGCGTCTGCCCCCAACTCATAAACTCTCATCCTCAGACCCCCCGCGAGTCCCTTGTCTAATCCATCCAAGAACTTGCTGATGATCATATTCTTGTCCGTGCACACCACATCTTCCGCCAGGTTTGTTAGTCGCCCATAGTATGTCAGGAGTGATTCCTCATTTCGGCGCTTAAACTCCTGAAACTCTTTGATACGCTCAGCGGTGTGACCAGGAAATTGCTTCCTCAACCGCTCCAAGCACAGCATCGTCGGATTATCATCATCCTCCTCTGCCCTCCTCAGCCATTCACCAATCTTCATGCGATAAAGCGTCTCTGCTTCTCCCCCCAGCGTGTTTGGCAGGCTAAGGAAGAAGTCAATTGGGTCTATGCTGCTCCGGTCACATCGGTATTTCACGTTGCTAATCTGCATCAGGAAATTCTTCAGACTTGGGCCGGTTTTCTCGTTTCCTGTGAAGCGTACTGGCACCTCCACGCGTGGCTGCGCCGCCACGCCCCACTTCCCTATGTCCCCGTACTCCGCTTCCCCGCGTTCCGACATCGTCACCCCTCTCCTTCCTTCCTTCTCTCCCCTGCTACCCGACCTGCTCCCATACAACACTCGTTCTATACCTTCTCGTGCCGCTCTCGCTCCTGCTGACCCCTCATCGCATCTCCTAGGCATTTTTGGCCCTATTGGGCTCGGGCTCCTCCTTCGCGCATCTTCACGCTTCTCCCAGCGCTCCTCTCTGCTCTCCCAGCGTTTCTCTCCCCTTGCATGGGTCTGCTCCTGGTACCTCCGCCCTTCATCTCTTCGTTGCCGTTCCTTCTCTGCTGCCGTTCCTTCTCTGCTGCCCTTGATGCTTCTGGCGCTCCTGTGCCTTCTCTCTTGACTCGCCTATCCTCTTCATACCTCCACTCCCTCTCAGGCGGCCTCCTTCGTCGTCTTCCTTCCGCATTCCTCTCCCCGTCCCGCTCTGCTCTGTGCTGCCGCTGTCTTTCACCCATCGCCATGCGGCGGCTGCGGTCGTACCCCGGCCTTGGCTCAGGAGAGTGGAAGACATTGCTCACCGTACGCCCTTCTTCTTCGTCTCCGCGCCGCATCATTTTCGACTTGCTCCCCGCCGCCCCGCGCAATTGGGGAGCCTTCATGTTCGACTTGCTCCCCGCCGCCCCGCGCAATTGGGGAGCCTTCATGTTCGACTTGCTCCCCGCCGCCCCGCGCAATTGGGGAGCCTTCATGTTCGCCTTGCTCCCCGCCGCCCCGCGCAATTGGGGAGCCTTCATGCTCGACTTGCTCCCCGCCGCCCCGCGCAATTGGGGAGCCTTCATGCTCGACTTGCTCCCCGCCGCCCCGCGCAATTGGGGAGCCTTCATGCTCGCCTTGCTCCCCGCCGCCCCGCGCAATTGGGGAGCCTTCATGCTCGCCTTGCTCCCCGCCGCCCCGCGCAATTGGGGAGCCTTCATGCTCGACTTGCTCCCCGCCGCCCCGCGCAATTGGGGAGCCTTCATGCTCGACTTGCTCCCCGCCGCCCCGCGCAAGTGGGGAGCCTTCGTGTTCGACTTGCTCCCCGCCGCCCCGCGCAATTGGGGAGCCTTCGTGTTCGACTTGCTCCCCGCCGCCCTGCGCAATTGGGGAGCCTTCGTGTTCGACTTGCTCCCCGCCGCCCCGCGCAACTGGGGAGCCTTCGTGCTCGACATGCTCCTCGCCACCCCGCGCCACTGGGGAATCTTTGCGATCTCCTTGCCTTCCCCCGCCCTGCGCGATCGAGGGATTTTCGCCGTCGCCGCTTGTGTTACCACCCCGCGCAACCAAGGAATCGTCGTCATCGCCGCGGTGCTTGCCTCCGCGCACTCCCACGCTTTGAGGCTGGCTCCACGCGTCCGCTGGTTCTTCGCGTTCTTCCTCCTCTTCCGCCTCGCTCGCCGAGTCCGGATGCTCCATCTCAACGTCGGCATCGCGACGCCCACCGTTTCCTCCGCGCTGGCCTCTTGCCAGGTCCCACGGATTGCTGGTTGTGGGCCGACTGCCCGGCTCCGTTCTGACGAACCGATCCACTTCGCGTCCGTTAGCTCGTACGCCCACTGGCGTCACCAGATCCGCTCGATACGCCGCTCTCCGTGGCGAGCGCGTCGGCGACCTCTCGCGCTCCCTGGAGCGCCACCTGCGCGACGGGGAGCGTTCTCGTCGCGAATACGTCCGCCGCATGCATAGCTCGTGGCGATCCATATCGCCATCCATTTTCTCTCGACTTGTGAACTAGACGAGCAAAGCATTCGTTGCTGCAGCCGTGGGGACGGTGGTACCATTGTAGTTGTTGTGGGTGCTCAAATGCAGAGAGGAGCAAGATGCAGCATGCAGTACTACTCATCCTCTGTTGAATGCTCAATGTATCTCTCATTATCATGTTCAGCATAGAGCAGCATGCATTTGTGGCTACTGAGCCTGTGCAAGTTGTTCAAGCTCACAAGTTGGTGTTCAGGGTGTGTGTCAAGAGAGAACGCGTCACACAGTCAATACTGAGGCCGTTCTTGCCTTTGATTGGACTGTTAAGGCTCTTGAATCAAACCATAAACTACCATCAAGCACAGCTTCTTCTGTAACAATCATTAATTGACTATATTAATGAGGTTACCGGTAATACAAGATGAGCAAGCATATAGACTAACTGGCTTGTCAAGGTATCCTCGTGCCAACCATTAGAAGTCCCCCGACCAGAGCCATCCCTGTGGGAGCGCACCGGACCAGAGCCATCCTTTTGGGAGCGCACCGGACCAGAGCCATCCCTTCGGGAGCGCACCAGACCAGAGCCATCCCTTCAGGAGCGCACCGGACCAGAGCCATCCCTTCGGGAGCGCACCGGACCAGAGCCATCCCTTGGGGAGCGCTCCAGAGCCCTCAAGAACGCTCTGAGCTTGATGTCAACCTGGAGGGGAGTACTCAAAGCAGAGCCACAGCTGAATGGCAGAAGATGATCACCTTCCAACCCCACAAGTTTCCAAACCCACTCTCCTGAACACCCTGCAAGCAGGGTGCAAAAATGGGACCCACCATCATCCCACTTCCCAAACCTCCCAACCACCTCCCCACTGCTGCACCCTACTCCAGGCTCTGCTGCTGTACTCTCCACCTTCATCCCGCTGGAGTATGTATTTGCTGCTTCCCAAATGACTTTTTTTTTTTCTTGAATTATTTTTTTTCAATGTTTTTATTCTTCTTCTTTTTCCCCCTTTTTTTTTTTAACCATGAAGAATTGATGTCCCCGTTCCCACTCTCATATTCCCCCTGAGCTTGCAGCGATCCAACGCGGCCCTTATGGCCGCCACGGACGACGTGAGCTGGCAGCCAGCCCCACCTTGGACGACGATCCTGAACGAAGCTTCCTTGCAGCTGTGGGGATGACAGCAATCCCTCGCTCCTCCTGCTGCTTCATGTCGTTGGAACACCGTCTGTTTCGCACCTGCCTCTCAACTGCAGCGGCTCCTGCAGGCCGCGGAATCAACGTCGTCCCCTCTGCGCGGCTTTTGACGATCGCTCTCTAACCGCTTGGTTTGGGGATGCGAGACGGCAGCAGGTGTGAGGCATGATGTACTGGAAGTGTCGAAACTGCCTTCGTCAAGCCAGCTACGATGGACGTCGGAGAAACATGAAAAAAAATTGAAATATATTTCAAATTTTAAAGATTGTGACTTGACTTGTAAAGGAGCATGCAGTAAGGAGTCAAGTGCTCCTTATCTTGTGGCAGGTCCACGGACCTGCCACCTAGTCCATTTCATTCATAGATCTGAATCTACAAGCACACACATGGAAACTATCAACCTCCTCGCCATTTCCGTCTCTATGTTATGCCTTTTAAGAGTGAAACCATCTTCGTCGGATGTTGCTGCAGTGGTGCGCTCAGAGTGTGCATGGCGAGGTTGTTTACTGGTGCTGGTGCAGAATGATGAAATTGCGGGATATAGCGTTTGACAGCTTCTGCTGGTGCGATTAATGTCCCAATGGCCCCTACCACCTGCTGCCGTTGCGCGATCGCCGCGGCTGTACAATCGATAAGGTCGGCGCGCAATCTGCGGCTGCTGTTACCACGCAATCTGCGGTCCTTGCTATGAGATTTGGTGCTGGTGTTCGTGGTCGATGCGTTTGCTGCGATATCTGCTGTTGCGGCTCGCGATTTGCTGCAGGTGCTTCCGATTTGCTGCTGTTGCTGCGAGATATGCTGATGCGGCGAGATTTGTTGCTGCGATTTGCTGGTGGCGTTTCGAGATCTACTGCTGGTGTTCGGATCTATTGCCGCTCCTCACGATTTTGCTGCTGCTGCTCGCGATTTGCTGCTGCTGCTCGCGATTTGCTGCTGCAGCTCGCGATTTGCTGATGCAGCTCGCGATTTGCTGCTGCAGCTCGCGATTTGCTGATGCAGCTCGCGATTTGCTGCTGCAGCTCGCGATTTGCTGATGCAGCTCGCGATTTGCTGCTGCTGCGAGATCTGCTGCCGACGATGCGCGAGCTGCTGCGGGAACTGCTGCTGACACTGCGGGAGCTGCCGCTGAATCCGCGCGCGCTGCTGCTGACGGTGCACGAGCTGCTGCTGATGCTGCGCGATATGCTGCTGATGCTGCGCAATCTGCTGCTGATGCTGCGCGATGTGCTGCTGGTGCCTCACGATCTGTTGCTGGCGGCGTATGGTGCGCGATCTACTGCAGGTGCTAAGGAGGTCGCCACTGGTGGCGCTGCTCTGGATGGTGTACTGCACTCTGTGGATGGCTTCTCCTGCTGGTGGTGCTCGTGTTGGTGCTGCCGTTGCAGCTGCTGGTAGTGCTGGAAAGCACTCGTTGCCATAGGAGTGGTTACTGCAATCTCAGTGCTGGCCTTTAAGGTCATGGCCTTATAAAGATTATGGCATTTTTAATTATGGCCTTATAAGATTACGCCTTTGCAAGAGAACACGGCAAAACCCTCGTTGCTGTGAAAAAATAATTTACGAAGGGCCAGGCGTATGATAAAATTCCAAAATGATGCGTACTAAAAAATAAAGAGTAAAGTAATTTGGCATTTGCCTGGGCTAATTTCTATTTTATGCTCCTTACCCTTTCGAGCGAAATAGATCATTTCTTAAATCCCTGGTTCTTAAATAGAACCCAAAACAATTGGACAAAGAAGTTCTTCCACCCAATGGGTCGCATCGTGAATGTGCATTGCGCATGCATTACTATTGATACCGAGATATCGGTCAGTTTCGCTTACACCACCATTGCTGCCGGTAATATACCAACAAAAAAAACAAAAACAAAAACAAAACAAACAAAAAAAAGGACGGAAGGGGGGACACATGCAATACTCGCCTTTGAAGTTGTTACTGGCGTAAATATGCCCTCTGCGGATTACGATATCGTATATCACTCATTCCATTTTTCACGCTGAAATTGCGGAAACAACACGTTGAGATTAAACGTTTGGCTTGGATTGGACATTTGGTTGTCTGCCATTCTGAATGACACGAGCTTGGTGGCTGGGATCAACCGCTTGAGATGATGAAGTCTTTGATCGCGGTATTGTTTCAAAGTTACACGTTTGTTTGGACGTAACTGCCAATATCAATTACGGTAGTTACTAGCGCTCCCATGCGGATTTTGCAAAGATTTGATGTAACGTCTCTATATGCGGGTTGGTGTTATCAACCTTGGCGTTTGCCAGGTTCTTTTTGTCATTGCCATTATTGCGACTCATTTGACGTTCTTCTTTGAGATTGTCATGTTTGGCATAAGAATTCTAGCAAGGGCGGCCATTTGGGAAATCCCAATCCATCATAACAGACTTTGCATTGGCCTTACAAGTACGGTACATGTTAGAACAGGAGGTAGTCTTAGGAGCCTAAGCTAGGAAAGCCCTAGCTAGGCAAACGATAGTTTAGGTGAAAGAAGGAGAGGGGTTGCACTAGAAAGAATGGGGATACAAATAGCAAACCCTAGAAGGGTTGTACTCGCTATAGAGCACCCCACTACAGGCTAGAGCATAATATTCTGACACACCCCCATAGCCAAAGTGGGGTGTAATCAGCAGAGCAAGCAAAGCAGTACAAGCCCAGGGTGGATCACAATGTCACCACACATTCTGAGCACAAGTTCAAGAAGCAATAGTTTAAAGTTCACAATTATGAGCAAAGCTAGTGGTAGTCACAACGGGCAAGTGAGGAGGAGGAAAGAGACTATGAGAGGAGAGGAGGTAGTGGGCGGCAGCTGAAGCTGCTGGCACACGGCGCAACTGGAGCAACTGGCACACGGGCAACTGGAGCAACTGGCACACTGGCAACTGGAGCAACTGGCACACGGGCTACTGGAGTAACTGGCTCCGCGGCTAAAAGTAGCGGCAGACGAGCAACGGACTCACGGGCGACTGGAGCAACGGGCTCACGGGCGACTGGCGCAACGGGCTCACGGGCGACTGGCGCAACGGTCTCACGGGCGACTGGAGCTGCTGGCTTCACGGCGGCCACCCCCTTCAACCTCCCCAAACTATCCCACTCCCCCTGACACACACCCGCTGCTACACCGCTAGCTCCACTCCCCCTTCACCCCCCCTTAGTACCACTCCAACGGCTCCAACAAGTCCACCCCCCCTCAGCGGCAGCTGCAGCACAGGGAGACGGAGGAGGAGGAGGAACAGGGAACGGCACTCAGTGGCTTCACCCCCATACCCCTCACCCCCAAACCCTAATTCAGGAGAACGGGCTGTAGGAGGGGTGGGGCGCCAGTAGAAGCACGGGGGACAGTGGGGAGGGCAGGGGCAGCGAGGAACGGGCCGCCCACGGGCCTGGCATAGCCGCCCGAACCGCGCGCAGGCGGCCCGAGCCGCGCGCGGGCCTGGCGCTTCCCGTACGGGCCGCGCGCGGGCCTGGCGCAGCCCGTACGGGCCGCGTGCCTGGCGCAGCCCGTACGGGCCGCGCGCAGGCCTGGCGCAGCCCGTACGGGCCGCGCGCCGGCTGTACGGGCCGCGCGCCGGCTGTACGGGCCGCGCGCAGGCCACGACGGGCGACGGGGGGCGACGCGCGGGTCCCCGTCGCCCGTCGCAGCGCCTCCCGGGGGCGACGCGCCGAGTGACGGGGCAGAAAACCGCCGCGCGCCTCGGGGCGCACGGCGGGCAGAAAACCGTAAGTCAACGCCGCGCACCACGGGGCGCGCGGCGGACAGGGAGTAGCAGTAGCAGCGGAAGCAGTGAAGTGGGGCCCACAGGCCAGGAGCATGTAGCTCTGATACCATGTTAGAACAGGAGGTAGTCTTAGGAGCCTAAGCTAGGAAAGCCCTAGCTAGGCAAACGATAGTTTAGGTGAAAGAAGGAGAGGGGTTGCACTAGAAAGAATGGGGATACAAATAGCAAACCCTAGAAGGGTTGTACTCGCTATAGAGCACCCCACTACAGGCTAGAGCATAATATTCTGACAGTACATCC